GCTGGCGCAGCCGGAAGCAGCGGCCTGGTGGGCGTGGGCGTGCAGGAGGCTGCCTGTGGGAGCCAGGGCTCAGGGGCAGAGCGACCCCAGGAGGCCACGCCTGGGGGACTTGGTGGAGCCTGTCTTCATAGCTTTTCATCTTTCAATTGCAGTTGGTTTACAAGATTAGTCCCAAGGGTACAACCTATGGCAAGACATTTATGTAACTTAGGAAGTGTTTTCCCCGTAAGTCCACCTGCCTGGCGCCGTACCCAGTGAAGACACTGGATTGTATCCCCTGGGCTGTGTACTTCGTATCCCGTCTCTTCACCTTTTCACCCAAACCCCTCTCCTGCTTGGCAACTTACAAAATGTGGGTGAAGCCTATCTGTGGCCAGACACAGGGCTTTGTTTTTATTTTATTCGTTTTCAAAAGCTTTGAAACTTTATTGACATGATATCTATTGCAACACAACAGATTGTCCTGAGAGGTAGTGACTTGACCAACAGCCAGTCTTTACTATTAATTTTGCAATCTCAAACCAGCCACTGACACCTTCGCCACCCACTTCATTCATTCCAACCTGCAGACTGGCCCCAGCCTGGCCCGCCTGTGCGGGGCACTGGCTCTCATGTTGTGGCGTGCCCCCGTCCTTTGCTTACTGTCTGGCACGGGAGGGCCATGCTCTGATCTGCTCCTCAGGAGGGTCAGGAGGCCCAGGGTGGGCCAGTGGGCAGCTCCATGTTGGGGGACACCAGACCCTTGTGTTTATTTTTGCCTTTCTAGTTTTGCTAGTTTTCTTCATCACTCACACGCATACAACTAAAGTGGCAAGTTAAAGACGCTGGTCTCTTGCCCACGGGGTCACTACTGTGGGCAAGGGCTGAGCTGGGCCAGCTGTGGGGTGGGTGAGACCCACTCAGCCTGGGGCACTGACCAGGGCAGAGGGCCAGCCCAGGGCTGGGACGAGAGGAGTGGTCCCCTGGGAGGTGAAGGGACAGCACTGTGACCCTCAGTGGGCACCACCAGGGGAGGACGAGGGCCTGGCAGTCCGACCTCTACTGAGGCCGCTCCGTCCCCTGCAGGCTACTACGTGGGCATGTGCTTTGCAGCCTCGGAAAAGCGGCTCTACTCCCCAAGCCAGGCCCCCGAGACCTGGCGGCTCTTCCTCCTCCTGGCCGTGACCCTGCCCACCATCTCCTGGACCCTGATCTACTACTGGTCCCGCGACCGGTGGGCCCGCCACCCGCTGTCCCGCACCCTGGCCCTCTATGCCCTCCCACAGTCGGGCTGGCAGGCTGTCGCTTCCTCTGTTAACACTGAGTTCCGGCGGATCGACAAGTTCGCCACAGGGGCCCCGGGTGCCCGTGTGATCGTGACAGACACGTGGGTGATGAAGGTGACCACGTACCGTGTGCACGTGGCCCAGCAGCAGGACGTGCACCTGACTGTGACGGAGTCGCAGCAGCACGAGCTCTCGCCGGACTCGAACCTGCCCGTGCAGCTCCTCACCATCCGCGTGGCCAGCACCATTCCTGCCGTGCAGGCCTTCGACATCCGGTAGGGGGCGGGGCGGGGCGGGGCTGGGTCCACTGAGGCCTGTGCCCAGCTGGCACCAGGTCTCGTCTTTGGGTCCTGGGAGGCGATGAGTGTGACTCTCGATTAAGGCCCCTGCAGCCCACCCCTGGCCCCATTCCCCTTGTTTCCCCACAGTACCCCCACTTCCTTTGTCCATGCTGTCCTCTGAGCTGCCTTCTGCCACTTCTAGGGGAGCCCTCTGGGCTGTTTGGGATGGGACAGGACAGAAGCATGGTGGCTGCACCTCTGAAGCTGAGGCTGGAGCCGAGGTCCTCCCATACTGCTGAGGCCATGGCCAGCCTGCTGGGACCCTCCCTCAGCTGCGATCCTCCCTGTGTCCTGTGGGGGCTCGGGGCTCAGGGCCGTCTTTGCTCGTTTTCATTGGCAGCTGGGCTAGGCCCGAGCCTCCATGTTCTGTTTGGTTGTGAGCACCCCAGTCGCCCTCGGGGTGCAGCCTGGGCCTCCCTGATGCCTGTCCCAGGGCTCTGGCCAGGCTGCCTGGGCACAGGGTCCTGCCCTGCAGAGGGGCCTGTGCCCAGTGGCCTGAGCCCAGCAGCCCCGTCCTCGTGCAGGCTGAACTCCACGGAGTACGGCGAGCTG